TGTACTATAAAAAAATACATGTAAGTGTGTGTTTGTTATTATTTTTAAGGGAAGGAATTACGATGAATGTCATCGCCTTACAGCTTTGACAAAAAAAAAAAAACACATAAAAAACAAATAAGTCCGTAGCTGATTTGTATTATCAAATAGTACAGTTTTCGCGGAGTTATCGGTAGGGTTCACATTTAAGAAACGTATTTATATATCTGAAACATACGGAATTTTACAGCATTTCTACGAAAGGAAGTTTAGATTTCGTCTGCCTGTATTTCCTTTTCAATTGTCACCCAGTGGCACAGCGGCATTTCTGCGGACTTACAACGCTAAAATACGGGGTTCGATACCCGTGGTGGTGGTGGGGAGCACAGATAACCCATTGTGTAGCTTTGTGATTAATTACAGACAAACAAACCTTTTCAATCATGGTAACGCTTACAAAGATTCAACTCTAGTCGTTCAATAGCCATAACCAAAGTTATGTAGGTTTATCAACAGAGATGATAATTTTTATAAATGTTTCCCGACATGAACTTTCTGAATTAAACGAAGTATGTGTTATCTTATTACCCTTTCACTTTCTTGCCACAACGTATTTAACTTGTTTGATCTCAAAATACTGATCAGGGAGTAATATCTCCTGGTGATATTCTATTGAACTACTCTAATATACATGTATCTTTCATCATATGCCATGGCTTCGTGACCCTAACACGTAATCAGACGCTCGTCACTAATTATATTTCTTAGTCACACACGAGGCTTGTGCTTTTTATTTACCAGTGCAGAATCAAACATCAGTCTCTTTGCAACATTTTTTAATGTGGACTGGCGTGGTTGAATAACCTGCTTTCATTGCATACTGTGACGTTCGATAATAAGTCCTACCAGACAAGTAGAATCCCGAGTTCGAACCCCACTAGTGGGTAAGCGATAAGTTTACAGATTTGCAACGCTAAAGCTGAGGGTTCGATTCCCTTTGGTGTAGCTTTGGACTAATAAAAACAAAAAATGAAAACAGTCACAGATCATCGCATATATATCTCACTTGTTCTAATTCATAAGCCAGAATAAGAAATTTTCTAATCGAATCTGAATAATCTTCGAACGCATAGAACAATTATACAATGTGCCATATATTATATACTTAATTGTTAAAGCTGCTTTAACTTTGGCATAATACGTATATAAATATAGAATATCTATGGAGAATGACTATCCTATTTCTAGTATTTCAAGAAAAAACCTTTTTCATTTATATTTGGTCATCTCCATTAAGTATTGCTTGATTAGCATTTTGACTTCTGTATATTTTTAAGTTATTTTTGAAATGTTCTTCCTGATAAATCCTTATAAACTGAAACTTACAAAAAAAAACTGATTCTCAAAGATATATTCCTACTTGGTCAACTGCATGACCCTGCAAATGATTAACTGTGGTGGTAAAGGCAGTAAATTTTATTATGAATTTTGGGGTCTTCTTTTTGGTCTCTCTACCTGGTTTGGGCATTTTCAAAATTGAAATATGTTGCGGGTTATTATTATGCAGTTGTAGCCGAGGGTTCCGACTGGACTAAATTTGGTGATGGTGCGTCTCCTTGACAACCAATCAAACGTAATGGGGAATTTCAACCAATGATAATGATTTTTGTGCACCAGCAATACTAATTTTAAAAAGACAAATTTGCTTGTCGCAGCAGAAAGCGCTGTCGTTTCGTACAAGTTGTGTGCCGATCGGTACCGCAACGGCCGAGATATCGGCGTGACAGGCGGACGGCTTTTCGTCTCTATATTGTACATATATTGTTCCTAGATTATAATTAATTTATAGAAATCACGTTCATAAAACATTTATTTAAATATAATTTTGAGAAGAAAAATTAATCATCATTTTCCGTCATATGACGGGCATTCAGCTTGTTTAATGATAAATGTAAATAGTTTCTTCTTGCACGTTATGTATATTAATGACTCGGTTTTGTTGCTGTTTTTTTTTCAGGCAGAATACGGACTGACAGAGGAACAAATTGCAGGTACGAACAATAGTTTCATACTTGATAAAACTCTAACAAAATCGTTTAGGAAGTCACTATCCTAGTGATCAGTGGAATCTTCTGTCTTTTATGACGTAGCTAAAAAAATATGGAAAACCTGATGATCTCCATGACGTCACTAAACTCCCTTTATATATATATCAGTCCTTTGGTTACACCACCATTCCCAGTTTGCCCCTGAAGAAGAAAGGTCTACCTTTCGAAAACGCTCGGATTATTGGGTTTTTATTCATTTCTATCAAGACTTCTTGAACCTACGTGTTTTTCTAACATCACGAATCTTTATATTTCGTCTTACGAAAGTCAGATAATCATCTTTATACATTTAATAGTTCACTATAATGATTAATATTCATGATTTTAATCCAGTACCGTAAAGCGTTGTTGGCTTTATTACTTTAAGAATTACCAGTGGTACTTTTCTTAACTATTCTATACGTTTGTTTTCAATTTTATATACATATAAAGTTTAAATAAGTCTTGTACTTTTACACCTAAAATAATAAAATATCACTCTAGTAATAACACCAAACGGAAGAAATGAAATGTATGAAAAGATAGAAAATATAACCAAAAACTTTCTTTGGTTTTGAGCTCAGAAATAAATTAAGACAAAATAACAAACAAATGAACTTTAATTCATTCTTCTAATACAATACGAAGTCTTGAGAGAGAATGCATTAGGAGAGTCTCTTGGATATTTGGTATGAACGAGATATAATTTTAGTGGATAAACTTGCTGTGAAACTACATAAAAAAATATGTATGTTGTAATAAAACATATAATAGATATTTGTTAAAAAAAGATCTCAATTGTAGAAGTTAGGGTAGAAGAAAATGATTTAACTTATTTATTTTTATATTAACAACAAAACATTTTCGAATTAATAAAATGTTGATTGTTGGCATCGAATAAATATTCCGTGGGTTTGTTCTTCTGTGTGTTGAGTAACAGTGTTAAAGTTTCTATCATTAGTTTATCGAGAAATTCAAATGACCACAAGAATATATCGCGTGAACTTTCCATCAGCCTGTAAACATCCGAGCTGGATGTCGCTTTTAAAATATATCCGCGATGAAAGACGTACAGAGTAACACCAAAAACGAACTTCAAGGACGTCACTTGACTTGAAAGATTGTAAACAATTTTTCTGAGCAGAACGTTCAAAATTTATCTAAAAAGTTAGACTTTGCAAAACAATACTGCTTTTAAAATCTATATACGAATTTAAAACTAAAACACAAACAGTGTTATTGGGCTACAGTCTATTCAAAGATTAACCAACAAAACTTTGTGCGAGTTACAATTTTTAACTCACACTTAATATGTGTAATATTGACAATATTAATTATCAAGAAAGTAAAAATGTGTAACTGTTACGTATTGGAATTTCGAATAGTCCGAAGCCGAGTTAACTGATAATTTAAATTTAATAGTTAAATTGTACTATGGATTTAGTATTTAAATATATGCCGATATATTAGTCAATTTACTATATTTGCCAACAAGATTGATACACACCGTCTTCGTTTTTAACACAAATACGTTTTAATATACACACAACAATACAATTTACAGTAATAATTATTACAAATAGTTACTACAAACAATGATTTATAAAGAGAAGTTTCACAAACTCATAAAAAATATAGTTTTCTTTCTAGTTTGGAACTTCCTTGATATATTATCGAGAATTTACGATGAGCGAGTTAATTTCAAGTTGATGAAAATACGATTCGCCGGGAAGCTAGCTAGCTTTGTCCTTGGCCACACGCACTAGGTTTTCCACGGTTGAAGTTAGGTAATGTTTTCGTAAAAATATTAATGTCCGATGAGAATCCACTGAAGTTTGACGATTTGTAATGTTCGAAATTTATAAATATTCCTGGTCAAATATCTTACGTTTTCCGATTGATAAGCGTTATAGAAATCACAGTAATAGCTTTCGAAGTTTACAGCACACTGATTATAGGGAACTAATAATAGATACTCTTTCGGCGCGTCGCGTTAGTTATATTTATAGACGTGGGAACGTTTTCTAGAAAATTCAGTCTTATGTAACAATACAAGTGTTAACGTATATACATATATTGTTGATTCTTACTCTTCGAGAATCTTCTACAACTTTTGAGTAAG